AAGAATTCAAAAAAATATCCCAAATTTTTTCCTTCAATTCCCAAAAATATTCCCAAAAATTCCCCCCAAAAAATCCCAGAAATTTCCAAAATAATCTCCCCAAAATATCCCGAAAATTCCCTAAAATATCCTAAAAAAATTTCCCCAAAAAATATCCCGAAAATTCCCTAAGAAATCCCAACTATTTTCCCGAAAACTCCCAAAAAAATCCTCCAAAATTCCCAAATTTTTGTGGTTTTTTGCTGGTTTTTTATTATTTTTTCTGTTTTTTTCCACCATTTTCAACCCGCCCCGAAAACCTTCATTGAAATTTCCAACAACACCAAAAATTCCCAAAATTTTGGCTTTTCCAGACAATTTTTCCTTGGATTTTTCATCTTCCAATTCCTATAAAGAAAAAAAAAAAAAAAATCAGGATTAAATCCCAAAAAATTAAAATATTTTTCCCCCCAAAATTCCCATTTTTCCCAAAAAAATTCCCAATGTTCCCCCCCAAAAAATCCCAATTTTTCCCCAAAAAATTCCCAATTTTTCTCCAAAAAACTCCCAATTTTCCCCCCAAAAATTCCCAATTTTTCCCCAAAAATCCCAATTTTCCCCAAAAAAATTCCAATTTCCCCTCAATGAATTCCCAATTTTTCCCCCAAGTTCCCATTTTTTCCTCTATAAATTCCCATTTTTTCCTCTATAAATTCCCATTTTTTCCCCCCAAAAAATCCCAATTTTTCCCCCAAAAAAATCCCAATTTTTTTTCCCTCAAAAAAAATTCCCAATTTTTCCCCAAAAATTCCAATTTTTCCCCTAAAAATCCCAATTTTGTCCCCAAAAAAATCCCAATTTTGTCCCCAAAAAAATCCCATTTTGTCCCCAAAAAAATACCAATTTTTCCCTTTAAAAGTCCAATTTTTTCACCCAAAAAAATCTGGTATTTCCCTTTAAAATTCCCAATTTTTTCCCCAAAACTGCCCATTTTTTCCCTAAAAAATATCCCAATTCCCCCCCCCCCCAAATAAATCCCAATTTCCCCCAAAAAAATTCCTATTTTTCCCTTTAAAATTCCCATTTTTGCCCCCAAAATTGCCATTTTTCCCTCAAAAAATTCCAAGTTTTCCCTAAAAAAAAAAAACAATTTTTCCCCAAAAAATGAATTCCAATTTTTCCCTCAAAAAATTCCAAATTTTCCGAAAAAAAATCCCAATTTCTCCCCAAAAATTCCCATATTCTGGGTAAAAATCCCCCTTTTTTCCCCTCAAAATCCTCTTTTTTTCCCCCCCCCCTCACGTTTCCCGCCTTTTTTCCCCTCACGTTTCCCCCTCAGGATCCCCCTCACGTTTCCCGCCTTTTTTGCCCTCTCAATCCCCCCTCACGTTTCCCGCCTTTTTTCCCCCCCTCAATTCCCCCTCACGTTTCCCCCTCACGTTTCCCGCCTTTTTTTCCCCCTATGGATTCCCCCTCAGCAATTCCCACCATTTCCCCCCCTCACATTTCCCTCCATTTTCCCCCCTCAGCAATTCCCACCATTTCACTCTTCCCCTTTCCCCTTCCACCATCCTTTCACCTTTCCCACCGTTTTCCACCGCTTGCCCCCCCTTTCCTCTTCCCCCTCACGTTCTCTTCTTCCTCTCCTCCCTCCCTTTCCGCCATTCCGCCCCTCCCCTTCCCTTTCCCCTTCCCCTTTGCCCTCCGCCATCACCGCCCCGCCCCTTCGCAAAGGAAGGGGGGGGAGGGGGGGGGGGAACGACGCGACAACACCGAAACGTCTCCCCAGGAAAATTAAAAAAATCAAAAACGCCGCCAAAAACGCCTCCAAACCTTCACCGAAACCACCCGAGCCGACGGGAGAAACCCAAATCAAATAGAAACGGCAAAAAAAAAAACCAAAAAACCCATCGAAAAATCGGATTTCTAAAAGTTTTCGAAGCGATTATGGAGAAACCCGGCAGAACGGATTGCCCGGCGTTACCGCCCGGCTGGAAGAAGGAAGAAGTGATCCGAAAATCCGGTTTAAGCGCGGGGAAAAGCGATGTTTATTATTTTAGGTATGCGGGGTTTTTTAAGCTTTAAGTTGGTATTTGAGGGGGTTTGGGGTTTTTTTTTATTTTTTTTGAGGGGGTTTTTGAAGGCGCGCGATGGGAAAAGCGGCGGGGGGGGGGGGGGGGGGGGGGAGGTGATTCCGGGTCGGGGTTTTAAAGGGAATTTTAGAGGTTTTTTTGCTTAAAATTTGGGTTTTTTCCCCTAAAATTCTCATTTTAGCCACCTGAATTCATATATTCCCTCCTTAACTCTCAGGTTTCCCCCAAAAATTTCCATTTTTTTGGGTCAAAATGCCCATTTCCCCCCCCCCGCCCTAAAAATCCCCATTTTACCCCCGAAAATCCGCATTTTTGTACATAAAAATCCTCATTTTCCCCCTAATATCCCCATTTTACCCCCCTAAATTCTCATTTTTGACCTAAAATTTCCTTTTCCCCCCTAAATTCTCATTTTGTACCTAAAATTCCCCATTTTATGCCCTAAAATCTCCATTTTCCCCCCTAAAATCCTCATTTTATCCCCCTAAATTCTCACGTTTTACCTAAAACTCCCATTTATCCCCTTAAAATCCTCATTTTTTTACCTAAAAATGTCCATTTTTAACCTAAAAGTCCCATTTATCCCTCACACTTTCAATTTTTCACCCAAAATTTCTATTTTTAACCTAAGATTCCCCTTTTATCCCCTAAAATTCCTATTTTCCTCCAAATTCTCGTTTTTATCTAAAATTCCAATTTTATCCCCTAAATTCTCATTTCTCCCCAAAATTTCCATTTTGCTCTCCTAAAATCCCTCAGTTTGCCTCATAAAATTCCCATTCTCAAAAAATCCCTAAAAAAATCCCCCAAAATCCCCTAAAAATTCTTTAAAATCCCCAAAATCCTCAAAAAAATCCCCACAATGTCCCCAAAACCTCCTAAAAAAAATCCCAAAAAAATCTCTAAAAATTCTCAAAAAATGCTTAAAAAGTCACAAAAAATTCCTTAAAAATTGACACAAAATTTGGAAAAAATCCCTGAAAAATCTGGTAAAAAAATCTCAAAAAAATCCCAAAAATTGTAAAAAAAATCCCAAAAACTTCGTAAAAATTCTCAAAAAATTCTCTAAAAAATTCTCTAAAAATTCTCAAAAAATCCCCCAAAAATCCCAAAAACTTCTCTAAAAATTCTAAAAGAAACTCCAAGAATTGCGTAAATATCCTGAAAAAGTCACAAAAAATCCGTAAAAATTCTGAAAAAAACCCTAAAAAATTCTCTAGAAATCCCAAAAAATCCCCAAAAATTCTCTAAAAATTCCCATTAAAACCTGACAGAAATACGCAAAAAATCCTCCAAAAATTCAATTTATTCCTCCAAAATCCCCCGTAAAATTGCCAAAAATTCACCTTTTTTCTCAGTTTTTTTCACCAAAAATCCCTTTTTTCTTTGTCTTTTCCCATATTTTCCTCAATAAATCCCAAAATTCCCAAAATATTTTAATTTTCCAGCCCAAGTGGGAAGAAATTCCCAGCAAGCCACAGCTGGCTCGGTACCTGGGGAACTCAGTGGACCTGAGCTCCTTCCAGAAAATCCCAAAAAAATTCCCCAAAAACTCCACAAAAATTCAGCAAAAATTTCTCAAAAAAAATGTCCAAAAATCCCTGAAAAAATTCCCAAAAAATTATCCAAAAAATCTCAAAAAGTTCCGACAAAATCCACAAAAAATTCTCAGAAAATTCCCTAAAAATTTGGTTAAAATTCTCAAAAAGTTGTCAAAAAATTCTGAAAAAATCCTGAAAAATTCCCCCAAAAATCCCAATAATTTAGTTAAAAATTCTGAGAAAATCCCCAAAAAAATCCCCAAAAATCATTGAAAAAATTCGCCAAGGAGTCCATAAAAATAAAACAAAAAATTCACAAAAATTCTGTAAAAAAATTGAAAAAATCCCTGAAAATCCCTTAAAAATTCCCCAAAAAAATCCGTGAAAAATTCAATTTTTTCCCTCCAAAATCCCCAAAAAAATCTGCAAAAATTCAATTTATTCCTCCAAAAAAACCCCGTAAAATCGCCAAAAATTCACCTTTTTTCTCCGTTTTTTCACCAAAAATCCCGATTTTTTTTTGGTCTTTTCCCATATTTTCCTCAATAATTCCCAATATTTTAATTTTTTAGCCCGAGTGGGAAGAAATTCCGCAGCAAACCGCAGCTGGCTCGGTACCTGGGGAACTCGGTGGACCTGAGCTCCTTTGATTTCCGCACGGGGAAGATGATGCCCAGCAAGCTGCAGAAGAACAAACAGAAACTGCGCAACGACGCCCTCAACCCCAACAAGGTTTGCTCCAAAAATTCCAATTCTTTATCATTTATTTAATATTATTTTAATCCTGATTTATTCCCCAATTTTCCCCATTTTTTCCCCAATTTTCCCACAATTTTTCACATTTTTTTCCCATTTTTTCTCAATTTTTTCTCAATTTTTTTCCCATTTTTATCCCATTTTAATCAAATTTTAATCTAATTTTTCCCCCATATTTATCCCAATTTTTTCCAAATTTTTCCCCAATTTTCCCCAATTTTTCCCCAATTTTCCCCCCAATTTTCCCCATTTTTTCTCAATTTTATCCAATTTTGCCCCAATTTTTCCAAAATTGTTCCCCAGTTTCCCCCCATTTTTATATCAAATTTTCCCTATTTTGTTCTCAATTTTCCTTATTTTTTCTCACTTTTCCCCAATTTCCCCCCAATTTTTCCAAAATTGTTCCCCAATTTCCCCCCATTTTTATATCAAACTTTCCCCACTTTTTCCTTAATTTTTCTCATTTTTTCCCAATTTTGTCCCATTTTTCCTCAGTTTTTGCTCAATTTTTATCCCATTTTAATCCAATTTTAATCCAATTTTTTTCCCATTTTCCCCCAATTTTTATCTTTTCCCCCAGCTATCTCAAATTTCCCCCAATTTTTCCCCAATTTTCCCAATTTTATCCCATTTTAATCCAATTTATTCCAAATTTTTCTCCTAATTTTTCCCCTCATGAAACATTTTCCCGCCTTTTTTCCCCCCCTCATGATTTTCCCGCCTTTTTTTCCCCTCAATGACACCCTCAACACAAACAAGGTTTGCTCAAAAAATTCAAATTTTTTATTATTTTATATATTTTAATTATGTTCCCAATTTTTCCCCAATTTCCCCCAAGTTTCCCCCATTTTATTCTCATTTTTTCTTCATTTTTTCCCCAATATTTCCTTCAAAAATTTGAATTTTTTTGCCCATTTTTTGCCCTTTGTTCCCCAAATATTCATCCAATTTTTCCCCAGTTTCCCCTCAATTTTATTCCCATTTTCTCCCATTTTATTCCCATTTATTCTTCATTTTTCACCTGATGTTCCCCCAATTTTTCCTTCAAAAATTCGAATTTTTTGCCCATTTTTTGCTTGTTTTCCCCCAATTTTTTGTCAATTTTTTCCAACTTTTCCCCAATTTTTTCCCCATTTTTTTCTCAAATTTTATCTCATTTTAATCCAATTTTTATCCAATTTTTCCCCATTTTTTTCCCAATTTGCCCTCAAGTTTCCCCATTTTTTCCCAAATTTCTCCCATTTTATTATCATTTTTTCTTCATTTCCCCACAATTTTTCCTTCAAAATTTGAAAATTTTTGCCCATTTTTTCCCATCTTTCCTCCTTTTTTCCCCAAATTTCCACCAAATTTCTCCCAATTTTCCCCATTTTCTCCCATAATAATCTTATTTTTTACCTGATTTTTTGCCATTTTTTGCCTGTTTTTTCCTCTTTTCCCCAACTTTTCACCAAATTTCTCCCAATTTTCCCCCATAATAATCTTATTTTTTAACCGATTTTTTGCCATTTTTTGCCCGTTTTTCCTCCTTTTTCCCCCAAATTTCTCCCAATTTTCCCCCATAATAATCTTATTTTTTA